GCTGTTTCCATAATACAAAGCAACTAAACAAACTCCATCCATACAGAACTTTTCAAAAACAGAAGTTACTTCCTTTACAGGAAGAAGGAAATGGGAGGAGACAGAAGAGAAGAGATAGAAAGAACAGTATAATATGTTACCCGCAAAGTGAAAGTCATTACAGTTTTTCTTGATTGCTTTGATGCAGCACTCAACTTAAACTCCACATTTTCAAAACAGTTAACACAGGCTGAAACAGTGGCACTCATGGTCAAAATGACACATTTGCAAAAGGCTCTAACCGTGCCAAAACATTTAAATTATGCAACAAAAGCAAATTTTCCCTTCAAACAACACAACTTGCAAACAAGTGTATGAGCTCTTCCAATCAACCATTACACAGTGGACAACAAAATACAAAATACAGCACTCAGTGCGAATCAGTGCACCATTTCTTGTCATTGTAGCCTATTATTGTTTGTAGCTTTCATGCCAGTGCCATTTGTTGTCAAATTTGCCTTCTTGCAGAGAATTGGATCCAGAATCAGAAATGCTTTGATGCAAATTTTATTGATTCCATTGATTCTTTTTTTCAAACTGTGGCTGAAAACTGAAATACTGTAAATGTTACACAAAATACATGTAAACCAAAATAAAATCTATTAGAGTATAGATTACTTTTCTTAAGAAATTAAGAAAATAAAAATAAAATCAGTATAAAAAAAAATATAAAAATCTATTACTGTAGTGTATAAGAAATAGCCACTATTGATACTCAGTCTCTTCTGTCTTGACGATGGGGCCACATGGCCTCATCCACATCACATTCAATATCCTCTCTTGCAATGCACCGAGGGAAAAATCTTCTTGCATACCTTATCCAACCTTGACATTCCTCTGCACCTATTTCTTGGGCAGCAGCAGTCATTGCATTCAGTAAGGGCATCTGCTCATAGGGACGGTGATCATAAACCTTCCACCTCCAAGCACTGAAGAACTCCTCTATGGGATTCAAAAATGGGGAATATGCTGGAAGGAACTTCATCATCATTCGAGGCTGTACTGCAAACCACTCATTGACAAGGTGAGAGTGGTGGGACACCACATTGTCCCAGATAATGACGAAGAGTGGCATGCCCCTCTGTCCTGGAACTGTGATAGTGGCACTGTACCCAATGAGGCTCCTTCCACGTTTCCTCACTTTACAGAGATTGAAGCCAGCTTCATCAACATAGATGAAGACATGATGTGCCCCCTCAGCTTCAAGCTCCATTATTGTCTAAGTAAAATAAGGCAAAATGACAATGAAAAGTGACTCCAGTTGACTCTAAATGCATGATATGACAAGACATTACAGTATACTGTAGTAAAGTTTCCTTACCTCCACATCAAAGTTCCTTTGAAATGGAACTGTATAGAGCTGCTTCATGGCCATATGGTTCCTTCTTAGGATGCGGTCAATGGTGGTCACGCTCACGTTGTTGATGTTCCTAAACATGCCCTGATCTGCGATCACTGCTGCCCTGATTTCATGCAGCCTTATGGCATTGTTTGCCACAACCATTTTCACAACGGCTGCCTCCTGCTCAGCTCAATTCTCCCTCTACCACCAGAGAATGGTAGCCTTTGGATTCTATAAAGAATACATGTAATGGGAATGAGGAAACAATTACATAAAGTATATCACTGAAGATATATCCGTATATACTGTACAGCAACATTACCTGTTTTCCTGTCGAAAAATTCTGACAATGGATGCGACAGTGTTTCTGTTTAGAACAGGTTGGACTCTTTGTCCAGCCTCTCTAAGTGAAAGGCCATGATTGATCACGTGATCAATAACAGCCCAAATTTCATCAGAAACCTGAGCCCTTCCAACTATACCTCCACCTCACACTCAAACCCCTCCACCTCTTACTCTCACTCTAATCTGCCTTAGACCTCTTCCATCCATGTTGGCAAAGAACAGCACAGACGCTGCACCTTTTAAGGCCTGCAGACTGATTGCTAATTGAAGATTTGTGTGTCAAACAGGTGCTTCAGTGATTTCATACTGATGTAGGTAGTTTCTAATAGCTAGGAACAGATAGTTTCTGTTTGGTTACCATGGCTAAAACAATGGAGTTTGGACTGCTTGAATGACATCCGTGTTAACTGTTCTGCAAAAGGGTGGGGAAAATGTGTCAATCCAATGAGAAAGGGTTAACACATTTGCAAGAGGTGTCTTGTGCTCTGCTGAGACAGTGATGATGAAAACCGAGTGGATCCCAGTTTCTTTAAGCAGGTCAAAGCAATCAAGAAAAACTGTAAATCAAGAAAAAGACAAAGAAAGCAAATTAAGTTTTAGTGATTTTGACTTTTCACTGTTTTTAGAATCGATCTGAAAACTTCTCATTTAGTTTGAGAACTTGGTTTCCATAGCAACCAGCTCGCCTGAGTCTGCTAACTGAGCCTGCTGCAATGGCCACGGTTTGACACTATTTTCCAGAGATCAGGCTGCGTTTGTTTGTTCGTTTTTTTTTTTTTTTCTGGTCTGCAGTAGCAGTGCTAGCACCAGCAGCCTGCTCTCCTTGCAGGTTAATGTCCACGTGGCTGGGCTGAATGTGGTTCTGCATTGCTCCCGTCAAGTGTTTGTACGTCAGTCCATTCTGACACAGCCTACATTCCACCAATCACACACATCTTTATTGCACACACAGAGCTGTTCACCTCTGTTGGCAAGACAACCACCTTTGTTGTCTGTTTGTTTTTTATTTACCCAGACTGTGCAGACAAGTTGTCGCAACTTCAAAACAAAGAAAGGATGTAAATATAGAGAGAAAATACATAAATAAATAAAAACACAATCACATTTACTAATGTAGTAATGAAGAAAAACAACAACAGAAAACAAAATATCCATAAGCCACAAGCATAAAAAGCAAAGGAGTAGAAAAAAAACTGTTTAGGTGAGCAAACAAATTCTGATGCATACGATAAATATGCACTGTTTTTTTATTTATGTACATAGAGAAAAGAAAAACTCAAAACAAAAGTTAGGGTCTTTTATTCATTGGCAGATTCAGCGTTTTCAGAAAGTAGGGCCCAGGTGTCATCAGTTTCAGCTGTTTTTAGATTTTTGTTGGTTGCAGAGATTTGTGCCATTGAGACATATTGTGCCAGCAGATCAAACCATTGGGACATTGTTATTTTCTGTCTATTGAGCAATATTGTCTTTTTAGCAATGGTCAGGGCGATAAGTACAGTGTTGTAAGTGACTGATGGGTGTGAGGTCTCCTGAAAGGCAGAGGGGAAGGGGGAAGCTGAATGCTGTGACCCACGATTTGGGAGATGTTAGTTATTATGTCGTTCCAGACGTTTTGTGTTGGTGTGCAAAGCCATACTGAGTGAAAGTAGTTGTCTGTGGAGTCAACAGTGCGTTGAGGACACATGTCAGTGTCTGTGAAACTCATCAAGTGCATTTTGTGTTGAGTTCTGTGTGTCCTGTGTATGGTCTTATATTGAATGAGCTCTAACCTGGGGTTGCTAGTCATTGAGAAGATGTTACTGCAGATGTTTCCAGTGGGCTATATCAATATTAGTTGCCAAGTCTTTTTCCCAGGCTGTGATAGTGTTATCTTTGGTTGATGTAATGAGTCTGTATATTAACTGAATGTTTTATGCACTCTATATATTAAAAAATTAAACAACCATAAAAAATGCAGAGGACATGACCTTGGTGTCCTCAGTGGTAGCTACGGCCCTGCTGCCCTTACCACAGCTTGAGCCACTCAACATGCTGCATGTTCAGACTGCACTCCATTAGGCAGGTCTCCCCACTTTCACCACCACAGAACATGCAGCATGTATGACTGAATGGAGCGCTCCGGTACACACAGTAAGAACAGTGTTTCCTCTCTTCAGTACAGACTGAGTGGTCCTTCATGTGCTCAGTGTCCTGAGGCAAGTGGATTAATATTTGAATGTTGAACCTTTCTTGCACAAGGTTTTCCCAAATATTATTATGTTTTGCTTCCACAATGCTCAGACATCAGATGAATCCACTCACTTTGCGTCATCTATTTGTCTAGTAATTCAGCAATAAAACCCAGGACTGCATGTTTTACTGAGACAACAAGGAACAACAAAGGCATTATGGCTGTCACAGTGGTTACTAAGGCATGCCCACTGTCTGAGAAAGTTTTCATCAAAATGCTGTACAGCAGCGAATAAAAGTGATATGATGAAATCACTATAGTGCTGTTGTAGAGCAATATGGCAGCAATTTCCATTTTTTATGAGGCACGGCTTATCAACACATTTAAAAGCGATACATCTTTAACCAATCCGATTGTTTGCCCCTCGTACGAGAGGTCATCATACCCTTCCTGTCACATCAGCATCCATCAGCCACACACAAACATATCAATCAATGCGATGCTATCTTTAATCCTATCTGACATGGCAATCTGTGTTCGATGGTCTGCCACCTCATGATTACCAATTCCCACACAGAGATTAGAGCTACACAGCCCTACACTGACTGAAGCTCAATGTTCTTAACAACCTTGCTCCCAAGGTGCCTCTGCAAACGGGCAACATGATGATGTTGCTGCCAGGATGACTCTAGCACATCCAGGAAGGAGATGTAAACAGAGTGGATATGGGCAGAAGTCACAAAGGCACAGTAAACATGTTTTTCACAACAAATGAAACAATCATTTCCCAGCACTATAGCTGCTTTTGTAATGTTGAATATATTATATAACACTAGAGCACCAAATGTGGATTAATCTGCTGCTGAAAGTAGTCCCCAACAAATGCACTATTTCATCCTGTTTGAGTAACATTTAATAAAACCTTTTCTTGTTGTAGGTTCACCAGATTGGCTGCAGTTCATAAAGTTTCTTCATATGACTACAATATGCATTATACTACTTGTGTTGCTATCGCAGCCTCTCTGTGGTTTGTTTACATAGCCAGTCTGCTCTGTGTGCAGCTGAGTAAAGCGACTGAAACTGGTGTTTTTCTTATCTAACCAGATGCAGAGTTGGTGATTGTTGGAACAGCGGAAGGAGTAAAAAAGGCTATTTTGGTGAGTTTTATTTTGTTTCTCTCCACTTTGAATTAAGTTACAATGATATGCAAGGTAAAATTACAGTTTTTGGTCTAAGGAGTCTGGTGGTTGATGGGCACATTTGTCCGGCTTGCGTTGCGGCCATTGCGGCCCTTTTCATGGATATTTTCACATCTAACTCTGTAAATTAAGGCTTTATTTCTACCAAACCAGAGTTGTTGATTGTTGGAAAGACTGTGGGAAGACTAACAAAGGGAGTTTTGGTGAGTTTCTGTCCCTTTGTTTTTATTTGGGTTTCTGGTGGTCTAGTGTAACATTCAGCTGCAAGTGAATTGCATATATATATATGTGTGTATCATGAACATTTAAGTTAAATTAGAAACATTAAAGTAACTGAGCCCCTGTATTAAAACTATACTTTTTCTGTCAGTTCCCCATGATGGATCTCACGATGTGCGTTGGGTCAATCATAAGCAATGACTGGTATAAGTAGAGAACTCTGGTGTGTAATGAAGCCCTGAATCTTCCTTAGCAGAACAGACAATGGTGCACAATGAAAGAGATAACTGGAGCCCTGCTTGAAGTGGAAGATCTCGGATGTCTTCTCTCCTCACTGCGACATCCTGCTTGTGCAAATTCAGAGCTAGGGGGAATGCAGTCAAATAAAAGAATAAGTAAAACACTTTTCCTCTTAATTAACCCTAGAGCTGTTAGTCAGCAAGCTGTATCCATTAGCTACAGAGCTGAGTGATAGAACAACCTATATACTGAGCTGAGCAGAATAAATTGCTCAACACAACCTGAATATGGTCTTATCGTATTGTCAGAGCAGTGACAGGGCCATCATATGATGTCTCCATCCTGGAGGGTTTAGACTTACTGTTGCCGTCTGGCTGGACAACCGCCAAGTGTCTGAACCCAGCCCAACTTATAGACTTCTAAAATATTAATGAAAAATGACTCCAAATATAGTATTTCTTGCAGATGTGCAAAATCTTTTCTGAAGCAGTTGTATTGAACTAGTGAGTGTAGTCTTAAAGTCAGCTCTGTTTTACCGAATCAGCATTGAGGTGAAGAATAATAATGAAGCTGCCATTTATGTGTTTGCTTCACAGTTCATTCAGTCTAGGGCTTACACTAAAATGTGAGGTGCATGAGATTTGATTATTTTTTTCGTTCCTGTTGCTCCATGGCTGGCTGGCAAATCAGCGGCAACGCAAATGAATCAAAACAAACCAAACAGCTCCAGTCAGCTCGAACAAAGCTAATAGAAACAAAGCATTACACAGTCCTGTTAAGTTAAAGCTGTAACCCTCTGTTTTCAGTTTTGTGTTTCCATCTTTTAGTGCTGCAGTAACGTATTGCTGTGGTGTTTCTGTGGGGCTCAGCTGTCAGGTAAACAGTGGTGCTTCTTTGGATTTTTTGGAGTTCTTATTTTTTGTGTGTGTCTTTTGAGCTGTGGGTGTGACTACCAGATTTTATCCTGAACATTTTAGGATTCAAGGTTATTTTATTGTCACGGATGTAGAATGGAATTCAGATATAGTTCCCTTTATGCTAAAAAAAAAAAAAAAAAAAAAAAAGAGTCATAAAAAGAAAATATTTTTTAAATTTGTATGGTGAATTGTTGAGGAAGAAGTTAACAGTCTCCCAGTTTGAGGGAATAAGTTGTCTTTAAGTCTAGTGGTAGGACAGTGGAAGCTTCTGGTCCTCTTCCCATATGGCAGCAGGGTGAACACGCTGTGGCTGGGTGGGTGCAGGTTTTTAGTTTCAGTTTGGCTCTCCGCAGGCACCTCACCTCACCAATTTCACATATGCTGGGCAGCTGAGTACCAATGATCTTCTGGGCAGTTTAGGAGGGTCTGTTGGCAAAAAATGTAATATAATCATAGGTATGTTTTCATTAGTGTATAATATATATATAATATACAAACTGAGCGTTTCATTTTTTATATTTATTGTAAACAAATTTTGGCATTTCAATGACAGCAGAGAAAACGTCACAGGAATAACCAAAAATAATCAACGTTCACCCTCTGAGGATGATGAATATCCCCAACGAATGTAATCTAAGGCCGCATTCAGACTGCAGGCCAAAGTAACCAAAATCGTAATTGTCCAAATCCCATGGAATCTGAATCTTTCTATTGTGATTGATATACAGGTCTTTACTTTTATGCCACTCTAGATTGCCATTCTTCGTGACCTGTTTACACTGGAATCTGAAATGGGCTACATTTAGAAAATAATGAGAACAGCCAAGCAAAACCAAAGAAAAATCAGATCTGAGCAATAAATCAGGATTGAGTGCTAATGTAACCCAAGTGGCTCCAGGAATCCACGACTCCGCTTAAAAATACAGCATTCTCAAAAATCTATCACATGTGTAAACAAAACTAGACAACTAGTCAGTTCACTTTAGTATTCCAGAGTGATTTTTACTTTCAATCCAATTGATAAGACAAGGTTTTACTATTTACAAATAGTGGATATCTGATTGTGGAGCTAAACTCTTTGATTTGAAAAAGAGTGGTTACTGTTGTCACGATCTGCCTGAGAGAAAAATCTCAAGATGGATCTGACTCCTTTACTAGGATTTTCTCTGTGTTGCTGGAGGGTTTAAGGTAAATTGTCACTTCAGTGAAAGAGCAGGCTAAACTGACTGTAATCAGATGCTATTCATGAAAGAAACAAGCCCGGTGGAAAGAAAAATCAAGTCCCATACACACAACCATAATTATTAAATCTTAAATCTCTAAAAGATCATCTTTTAAAACTTTTGTAACAAATACAAATGCTATTATTTCATCAAACCACTGTAGTAAATTGTGAAGGAAGGGATCATTCATTATGAGGACAATGGACTTCTTGAGATTATTTGTTATCATAAAGACAGATCAAAATGTGCAATGGAGACCAAAGTGAAACATCATATCTAGTGAGTTGTAATTATTTTTATTTTAATCACAGTATCAGTATTTGTAATTTTTACTGTTTTCAGTGGGAGGCTGAAGACCTAGAAATACTATTTTCATGCAAATTGAACTCAGCCATAATTTGCTTTCATTTGTTTTTTCCTCTAGATGTGATTTCTTTTGCACGTCAAAGGCAATCAAGCCTGTCTCCCAATTACGTTCATATGTAACTAATTTTCAGTCCCACTTATGTTCAGTGGCAACATTTAGTTCCAAAGCAGGAACATGCATCCAGCATAGGCGGGAGTTTGGAGAAAACAGAAGCAATAGAATATTTCCAGCATCGGCCTCAAAATCAATTTACCTGGATAGTGTTGAACATTGTTTTATGCTTTGATTTAGTTTTTAGATTTTGCTGAATTGTAATGTTGTTTTTTCCGTAGACTGTATGCAATTACAGTATAAAGTCACCAATAGGGTTCTGATGAGCCGTTGTGAAGCTCAGTCGCCTCTGGCCGTCGCCATCTTGGCAGTTCTGACTGGGTTCCCAACTAATCCAAAAATGTGCAAAGACGTGGAGTTTGGGTGGAGATGAATGAAGCCTGGTTGCTGAAACCAGCCGCCTGCCACTTGAAGCGGGCACGTTCGTAATTATGCATAACTTAATAGCCTTAATATCATTTTAAACGGTGAGTTATGTCAGGGATAATGCCTGATGAACTGTCCATTATCAGGAACTACTGGACGCTGAGGCCAGAACCTCCTTGAAGTCCATTAATTCCTGATTATGGACACCTTAAAGGGCATTATCCCCATTAAACCATGGTCACTTGCAAAAAAAATAAGATGATTATTTTATATTTTCATGTGTTTTGCAATCAAAATCTAACTTTTATTTTAAAAGCCACAACTCCGTTTTCCTAAGGTCCTTCCTAATACCTGAAAGAATAATTTCCATCCCTACAGACAAACCTTAGATACGACTTGGTAACAGCAGATTTAGTTCCCTCTAGAGACAAACGTTTTTGTAGCAGGCATTAAAGATGTTTATTTCTGCTGTAAAGTTTGGCATTTTAATAAAGGGCCTTATGGAGATTGACTCACTTATTGAGGAATTGCAGTTTATGGCACTTCAGTGTTGGCTTCATTTGCCAGCAGTAGAGGTAGCAGCTTGTTAAACTCTAACTTTAGTCTAACAAAATAGTCTTAAGCCAAATCTGGTAGTAGTATACCAAAGTTGCCAGTGGGCAAAATGTTACCTCAGTCCCATCTCTGTCTGTCTTTGAGACACTACTGTCTGTTCGAGATGAATGAAAAGATACATAACCTTACGCATTTGTTTTTTTCCCTGCGCTGTACCTCTGTATTTAACCAAATGTAACTAATTAGTTACCGTGCTTGAGTAAATGTTACTTTCCATCTCTGGATTTACATTATAAGTCTGTTATGATTACAGTGTCATTTTCAACATATTGGTTGATAATGATAGGGTGAGTTATTTTCACATCCTAGTCTTGTGAATAAGGCTTTAAAGCTGATAAAGCACTCACTCAGATTAAGAGTCCCTCTTGCAATGTAAAATGGGGTATGACATGAGCAAGGGAAGAGCCTGCACACTAGGGAAGGCCACAGCGCCGGAAACTCTGCGCCTTGCATGATTATTCCTGAATTGATCAAAAAATTAAAAATAGAAAAATATGGAAATGAGGCCAGCCTAAACATTGTTTCCTTTTGGAGCGTGGATGATTTTTCTTCTTCAACAGTTTCATCTTATCCAGTAGGATTTCATTTCCAAAATGTCTAGACCTTGACAGTTTACTTTCCTGCTTCTGTGCACTTGTACCATGCAATACAGGCCTGCAGCAAAATGTTTCCTCCTCCTCATCTTCCTGCCACTGCAGACCTGATCCCAGCCAACCTCAGCGGCGCTTCCCCGTATCATCGGCAGGTTTTTGTGCTGTCCGCAGCAGCCTCATACTCAAACAGTCGATTATTGCTGTATGTGATTCTGTACAGGTACTCAGTGCAGAGTATTAGATAGACTGCTGTTTCCTCCTCCGAGTTAACTGGAGGACTTGGTGGGTATGATCACACGCAGCTCACTCCACCAGCAATACTTTCATCATCCAGCGCTGGTACCTCTGGATCCAGATTTCTCCATGACCTTTTGATATCACTTAATTTCTACCTCAGGAAAAAAATAAAACACATTCACACTCTGAGCCTGCTAGCTGGCTCTCCTTCCGCTAGATTAAGTGGTGATATTCACACAAGCCTTATATAGTGCAGATATGAGGTTTTGAGGTACAAATTACTCTGTTTCGTAAAGAATAAATTAATATGAAATAATTTATAGTTCAAGAAAAACATACATGAAATTTGGGTAAATGAGGTCAGGGAGGAACCTCCATTATGTGACGATGAGAGGGTGAATTAATATTTATGAGCAACCTTACTTGTTTGAGTATATATAGAGGATATATGCCAGTTCAGTTCAGTTCCATTGTTGCATGTTGTATTTAAGGTGAATTGGGGGGATTTGAAATTTGTTTAAAACTTTACCTATAGTATTATGAGCTAAATATATTTAGATTTTAAAAGTAAACATACTCATAATGCACAATTGCTCTTTTCAGTAGTAAAGCATTACATTATAATGACATGACATGATAATGATTTGTTATTGCAGTGGTTCCCAACCCTTTTCCTTCTCTGTATCTCCTTCTTTTTATGACAAATTCATTGTTTTCTTCTCTCTGACACATGGCCATTGTTTGCTCTTTGGTTGTGTATTTTTCTAATGCAAGATGAGGCTGTTTATCAGACAGTGAAGGCTCTCTGAATATAATTCGTGTTCAGGTCTTCAAAGTTTAGATCTTAAATAATAATCCAAACTTACAAAAAATAACAATTTCATTCACAGAAATTAACAAAATGCTGAGATATAGCTCTCCTGTGTATATTTTTAAAGTTTTCTTACCCGCCTTAAAGTCAAGAAGACCTCGCAACCCCCTGTGAAGCTTTGGCGACCCCTAGTGGGCGTCCCGACCCCCAGGTTGGGAATCACTGTTATTGTGTAAGCAGCATTTATTGTTGTAGTTGGTAGAGATGGGACTAGCTTAAACAACTTTATATTAGGGCTGTGACTATTTATTTCTTCTTTCTGTAATGACCTGTTTGGATTTAAGAATTAGCCTACATGTTAGTTCAAATTAGTTAGAACTTGACTTTCTGAAAAAATGACAGGCCTACTTTATGTACTGTTGGGTAGCCGAATCTATACAGCAACAGTACATCAATAAACAAGATGAATTGAGATGACTACAGTATATCTTATTCAGTGTTGGGTAGGGCTGGGGGTAAACGATTATTTATCAAACGATTAATCGGGCGATTATTTTATCGATTAGTCGACTAATCTAACGACTAATTGGACGATTAATCTAACGACTAATTGGACGATAAATCTAATGATTATTTAGACAGATAACGTTAAAAGCTACTGCAATCTGCTTGCTACCGTTGTTCGCCTAATTCCGGGTCGTTGCGTTCGCCGCTCGCCTCAGAGCACAGGTAGGTGCACCTTAGCGTGCTGGTTGTGTACATTCGTCAGCTTTTCATTTTAACTCAAATTGTAACTCTTTAATAATAGATCCGATGTCTCCATCGTGGTCGAGGCGATATTTTATTTGTTGTTTACGGCGCCGACCAGAGCATAGTCGGCTGGTCGCATGATACGTGGTGGCTGTCTCCCCTGCCACGGCCAAACCCTCTTCACCCCTCTCCCTCTTTGAAAGGGACGCCAATTAACCGGACTGGGAACCGGATATTATGAACGCTAAAGCTAAGGAGAGCACTGAGTCATCACGGCTATTTAGTTACGGCTACTTTGTTACCACTGTTGCTTCGTTGCTGACCCTGTTTCCCGCTGCTGATGTACGTGGCGGTGTGTGTGTGTGTGTGTGTGTGTGTGTGTGTGTGGCTGCTGCTCCGCCGGGACTCTCAGCCACTCGTTTGGACTGTGTGTGTGTGCGTGTGTGAGAGTGTTTTAAAGGTAATCTGTAGTTGTTTAATTAATTTCTTTAATTGTGAGCCCTCTTAACTGTGCCTCTTATCTTCCCCTAGAGCTGAAGGCCGACGGTGGTGGTGGTGATCCCTTGTGTGTGCGTGACCCTCGTTCAAGATTGTCTTTGTGTGCACGTCATGTTTTTGCTGTGTGAGTGGGGACGTCACTTTCCCCTGTCGGCCCCTCTTCCAGCCGGTGAGCCTCAGCCTGTACCACCTTCCTTCCCCACTTGGGCTCCCTTGTGCCAAACCTTATGTTCATTGGAACAATAAAATGTTGTATGTGATCATTGAACTGTGTCTCCTGCCCTCCCTGAGTGAACGAACCTGAGTGTCCTTTTGTAAGAGGTGATAATTGACCTTTAGTACGGGTCCTCGGGCCCTAACTCAAGGCGGCGTTGTCGGTAACAAACAAAAAAGGAAAAGATCTTCTGATACATAACTTAGTAATCATCCCACCCTCGTTTCGCCACAGATAGCTGTGTTCTGCAGCCGTAAGCTAGCTACCATTCAAGCCAACATCAGATGATAACTAACGTTAGCTAAACACAGCTGTCTAGGCGCCAGTAGCTAGCTTACGTTAACGTTAGCTACTAACCTAGCGCGAACAAACTGCACGGAGAGCTAAGATAGTTAGCTAGCACCACCGAAGTGCTCAGAGCTCAAGCTACACAACACACCACACAAACATGAAATGAATTTAGCCAACGTTAGTACTGAACTGTTATTGTCTCCTTCACGAGTGACAATGGGCTGCCTCCGTTTCAGACGCTCCCACATTGCTGTTGTGCTGGTGTGGTATGCCGACTCCATTTGGCAAAGAGCGCAAATAACGACACCTTTACGTTTGGAACTAAATTTGAAGTATTCCCATTCCTTCGATGATTTAGGGCGAGCTGTTTTTTTAGGACTTTTTCTTTTATTGGGGCTTTTTGCAGGGCTTTGTTGGGAATTCTGTGAGGAGGTTGCTGTTTCGTCCTCCATTCTGCAATGTTTTGGTCTCCCACGTGTGTGTGGCGAGCTGAGTGTTGACGCAAAGATATGACATCGACGTAATTTTGACATCGACGTCATCGACGTGTCGTTGCAGGCCTAGTGGTGGGCAATAACCCATTACAGAATAACGTTTTACAGTAATGTGATTACTTTTTTCAGCAACAAATACAGTAAGTAATTACAATTTCAAATTTTCAGCTGTTAGAAGGCACCTTTTGACATGAGTAACAGAACCTAATGTAACAAATATTGTAAAAGACTACTGCTGGAATGAGTCCTAAAGCCCAGAAATGAGTTAGCAATTTATCCGGTTCCCTCTACTCAAAGTCAACTGGTTTTTGGTTAGATGGCTGAAATAAGTTCTGTGGTTAAAACAAGCTTAAGAGAGTTTCATGTTTTGATCTACGACACAAAATAAATCAGTAATACCCCACCTGTGAATTTTGAAGCTTTTACGTGTCTTAAAAAAGGGGGTTGCTAACAAGTGGCTAAATGAGACTACAGAGGTTGCCGGTGACATTAAACATCAGCACATGCGGGCATTCAACAATACATAAAAGCGGTGTTCATTTGTGAAGATTATCTTGCAGAACAAAACGTGTGAGCGTTCAAAGTAACCAGTCATTCATCGTATTAATAAAAGAATCTACTGTAACTGAGATTAACCACTTTTACAGCACTAATTAATTAAAGACACTATATCCACTGTATGAATTCCAGTAGCTCAGATATGACACCATTACACCTGACACCTATTTGCATCTGACTAAACCATCATTAGGGTTAGTATGTACAGTATCAATTCTTAATTAACTTGAAAATAATAATTAGTTGTAACCATATGTGTGATTTTACTTTCACTACATATCATATACATATATACCAGACGAGGCTTCATATATTAGGTGCACTACAGTGTATTTAAGATGTAAGGTCAGCTTAAATACTTCAATATATTTACTGGGTTTGGTTGAATGTCCAAAGGAAAACCCTGAGTAGAAGAAAAGGAAAAGAATACACTTCATTAGCTAATAATTATCTTTCCAAACAACCACACAGCCTGAATATTCCCATTAGTAAAGGATTCCTGTTTGAGGGGGGGTATTTTACGTTGCATCTACAAGGTTGCTAATTAAAATCCATACCCCTAATGAGTTTTTAGCACCCCTATTGGTTAACATGATTACCTAAGATAAGAGCAGTAAATTGAGGTCCTTTTAATTAAGTGTAAGATTTACAACCGTTTTTACTGAAGAGACTCTAAATTGACTTTCCTTCTGTACTTCTCATGGCCAAGCAGGCTCACAGAAGGGTCAAACTCTTAGCTTCAAGTGCTCTGGAATCACATTTACAAATTCAGCTCTATGCTTTGCATTCAGTGTGGTGGCTTCAGAGGAAATAGGCGGAAGGATGCTATGACAAACAACTGTTTTCTCTCAAGTTAAGTTTATATAGGCTCATATTTTTTGAATGACATTAATCACAGAAAGTCCTGACCCACTTTTCTTTTTTCCTTTAGCTCCATCTAAATGGTGCTAATTGCTGTAATGTTATTCCACTGCACGTCCTACAGGTCGCTTGTCAGTCAAACACTGGCTGGTTTGAGTTTCAGTACATGGGGCTCTAGTTTTGGCTACATTAGCTGGCTCTAGGGATGACATGGTCTTTCACTCGTGTTCCACTTTGGTCCAGACTGAACAACAACAACTTTTGGACGTATTGCCTTGATATTTGGTACTCACGGTCCCCAGACAATCAGTCTTAAGGACTTTGATGATCCCCTTACTTCACTTCTAGCCCTGGAATGAGGTTGACGTTTCATCTATTGGATATAATGCTGTGAAATTTGCTACATACATTCTCCAGAGGATGAATTCTTTATAATAAATATAAACCAACCAATACTTTGGTTTATGATATCTGCAAAACCAATGATGGTAACACTTATATTACGGTCGTCATATTCTCCATTAACAAGCTGCTTATTAGTATGCTAATTCTAAATCTACAACATTTAAGAGGATCTATTGTCAGAAATGGAATATAATATTCATAGGTATGTTTTTCATTCGTGTTAATCACCTGAATATAGTAATCATTGAAGGAGACGTTTTTTTCTACAGATACTGTGAGTCACCTTCCAAGGAGTCTGCCCTGTTGAACCGCCATGTTTCTACAGTACAGAATGAACAAACCAAACACTGCCTGGCCTTTTGTTTTTTTTCTGAGTTTTGTGGTCACCTTAGTTTCTCCTACAAACCCGTTCTCATTCCCAGGTCGTTAAATACAGACACAAGCGGTGTTCAGTTTGTTGCAATCTGCAGTTTTACCTCTTGATGCCACTAAATCCTACATACTGGTCCTTTAAGTCTTTCTTATTCACGATATGTCCCCCATTCTTAAGTGAGGTGAAGCTGAATACAAGTTCAATAGCTCAAAGTGTTGTGACTTTAGCCCATACTGAGAAAAACATATTAGTAATGAGAAAGTTTACTGGACACTTTTAACACTTGTAGTTTTGTGATTTGTTACATGAGAGTAGACCACATTTATTAAGTGTTATGAAAGGTCCAGAATGACTATTCTTGTGGTATTACCACCTTATGAGGCCCATACTGACCAAAGTATATTAAGATTGTAATTCATACCTTACTTACTATCAATACGCAGCAGGAGGTCACTGAGGTTATTAACTCTTACTTAATGCTCTAGTAGTTGTAGAATATGGTCATACAGAATTAGGCATTAATAAATGCTTTAAAAAGTCTAATTAACAGCCAATATGCTGCTAATAAGCAACTAGTTGGTGTACTTTTATATGAAGTGACATTCCCATCAGCCTCGCCTGCACTTGTTTATTTCTAATTAGTAAATGTTAACTTGTCAGCAGGTTGAACCACGGTGTTGACCAATACCTGCTAAACATCAGCACCGTTTAGCTCAAAGCTCCTTTGTGCCTTATTACAGCCTCACACTCTTGTTGCAGTGTACTTCCCACCTGTCAGTCAAACTGTAGCTTGTTGGTGCATTTTATTTGTTCAGCCATGTTTATTCTGGATAAAGCACATCATCTGTGTGGAGCAGCACATTTTCCCAGGAAAAAAACTCTGACAGCAAGTGATTAGAGCTCCAAATGCAAAAGCTTTCATGACCAGGACATGCTGAATCATTTGGCGAGAGGGAGCAATAAAAACAGACATTAACATGAAAAAATGTCACGGATTATTACTTGAAACACTGGGAATTCCACACAGAAACCTCCTGATTTTGCCCCTGTCTGTGTGTGATTAAACAGCAATGCGCAGAGAGTATTAAATTGTACCGTAGCGTAGACAGCGGCGCGGCACTGCCACTCTGGCCCTGGAGGTGTCGGTGCCTTGGCCCCTTTGTCTTGGCTGCAGGGTAATTGCTTTTCTGCACCGAGGTTATTCATGTATTGCGATTGGATCATCCGACCTAGAGCAAGGGAAGCCACATTTGTGGCAAGGTTGGGTTGTTTTAGTGCTTTGCCTGTGAGCTGATTGTTTCAGCGCAGCTCTGTATCCGCCAGCTAGAGCCGTTGATACTGGCATATTCTGTATTCTGTCTACCCCACTGTGAAGAAAACGGACTGCTTTTTATTAAAACTCATTTCCCATCAGAGACACCTTTCCCCAGTCTATTTATTTCTACCTATGAAGCCTATTAATTTTTTTTCTTTGACCCTTTTGGCTTTTAAAAACACAGCTGAGTCCTCTGTGTCTGTTCTAATGGGATTTTTCAAATGATTTATTCGCCTCTGATTCTCCTCAGCTCAGGTTTTAATTGGTTTCTGAAAAAAAAAATGGTAAGAATATCTCACATTCTGTCATCACAAACTCTGTGACATTGAGATGAACAGTTAGCGTTAGTTTTCCTGCATTTTAATGAGGAGACTGTTTTCTAAATATTCCATTTGTACTTTGCTTTACAATCTAAATTCACTGAACCATATTGTCATCAGCACAGTGGGATGCAGCTCCTCACTGTATCCAGGTGCTTTAAATAAATGTGTAAAATCATTCTGGAAAGGAAGGCTAATCATTTATTTGTAATCAGTCAAACAAATGGCTCGTTGCTGTTAGTTGTTTTTATTACCCGGCTATTAACTTTCTGCACTATGCGTGTTCTTTCTGAATACTGACGGCGATCTCTGACTGACATCTCACTTTATCCCGGCATATATTTGTCTGACATTTTGCACTTGGTCTTTTACAGATCCTGCATATAGCCTCT